GCAGCCGAGGACAGCGACGCGCTTCCTGCCCGGGAAGGGCCCGAGCGCAGGGCCGGCTATAGCGGTCCCGCAGCTGCCTGCTTCGATTTTAGCACTCCCGCTCCCAAGAGGGAGTAACGCGTCCTTCTGTCCCTCTTAGGGCTTGAAATGTAAATTATTCATATCAGGGGAATGTGTGTTTCAAAAAGCAAGCTAGACAAGAACGGACGGGTAATCCTCGCCAAATTCTTCTATTTAACCCTCACCATTAAAAGTCTGAGGCCTGAAAAACCTCTTGACCGGAAAGATACCAACTCCACAGGTGACTGGGATCAGGATCCAAGACAAAAATGAACAGCATTCCAAATTCACTAATTTCTAAGAGTATTTAGACAGTAGAAAATTATTAATTCTTTTTATTAGCTCAATACTTTGTTCATTCAGCATTCAGTATTCTCTCCAGTTAATTTTAATAGCAAATCACCATTTTCTAAAATGACTTAAATGGGTTCAATCAAGTAGGAGAATGAATCCAAGGGAAACCACTGACTCAGATATAAAATGTGCCTTACATCATACTGCAAACATCAAACAATGAAGAATCTAGGTTTCAAATTTATATATATATATCTCTCAAGTCTTACCCTCAAGGTAAGATAGGAAAGTGGGAAATGCTGTCTGCTCACTGGCATTCCATATTCACTGTAATTTCTAGATTTCCAAGATACAGCTACCTAGCAGAGGTGATTCGTCAAGTCTGAGGTTTTCCACCTCCACCCCCATAGCAATGGGGCTGACGTTCACGCTCTGCAGGTCCTCATCAGCATTCATGGCACCCCGACAGATAACCCCATTAAACTCTCTCTCCCTGACTCAAGTAAACACTTCACAACGTAAGAAGGTGAGAAAGACTTTATTACTGGAATAAACCTGAAAGTTGCTCTAAATCTATAGAAAAAGTGCAACACTCACAAATATAAATACCATTACACACTATTTGTAAGACCCCTCATAAATAAATGACTATGTTATAGCTCAGAACTGCAACAGAACTCCCACCACCAAATGTTGTGGTAGTGTAAGGACCATTGTTATTTTCACTTACAAATATTCCTGAGAGGTCATATTTTAAGCGGCTAAAAACTAATACAAGCTGTTCATTCTTTCAGGGATAAGGTGACAACCAGCAAGAGAAAAAAACGAGGTAATGCACTCCAGAGAGTAAGGAAGGCTCACGGAAGAGGAGGGCTGTGGTGACGATCAGAGCCCACAGACGTCCAAAAATGTGACTTGGCTGGGCCTAACAGAGGGGAGCAGCTCTTCTAAAAACAAAATCACCCCCTGGAAATTATGTTGGTTGGTTCCTTGGGATATCTACCGTTCTTTTTCAAGTTATTTACTTGCTTGTTACTGCCAGTCCCAGCTTTCTTGGGAGACATAAACATATTTGGGGAATGGAAATAAAGTGCTTGCTGCCACAGACCAGGTCAGTAAGATAAGAAGATAAAGAGTTTCTAGAGTTTTTATTATTCAGTTTCAATTCAGGTACCTGAAAGAAGGTTCTAGTCTGTTACTCTGACACAGCACAAGATCAGTAGTTTATTCCAATGAAGTATCCCACCCAAATGAAAGCATAACATGCAAGTAGTCATTTATTTCAATCACTCCTATTTGAAGGTCCTTATTTTTGGAGAACAGCCAGGCATTTTATTATCCACTCTTTCCATTCCTTAAAGGCTTCCACGGGTTTCGGCAAATTCCCATTACCCTCACGACTGTGTTCTGGAGTTGCACCAGGTGTGCCAGAAGATTCGTCATCAATCCACCTCACCAGTGCCTGGAAAAACAGGAAAGATGCGCATTTCAACAAACCACAGCAAAATACTATCAGGCAAGAGAAGAGCATTGGCCTCTAGATCATAGAGTGACATCTTACCCCATGAAGATGCTGCATTTGATAATGATGGTGTGAATATGAAATAATGCTTATGATATACTGAGTGAAATGGCGCATACCAAATATACACAGAATTACAAATGATGTCAAAAGTATGCATTGAAAAAAGATGAAAAAGAAATACACTCATTCTTACACTTTGTTACTAGCATGATAGGATGTTATTTTTTCTCAACTTGCTAAATATTCCACAAGGCATTATATTAATTTTTTGGTTTTTGTTTTTTTTTTTGAGACGGAGTCTTGCTCTGTCGCCCAGGCTGTAGGCTGGAGTGCAGTGGTGAAATCTCGGCTCACTACAAGCTCCACCTCCCAGGTTCACGCCATTCTCCTGCCTCAGCCTCCCGAGTAGCTGGGACTACAGGCGCCCGCCACCACGCCCAGCTAATTTTTGTATTTTTAGTAGAGACAGGGTTTCACCGTGTTAGCCAGGATGGTCTCAATCTCCTGACCTCGTGATCCGCCCGCCTCTGCCTCCCAAAGTGCAGGGATTACAGGCATGAGCCACCGCGCCCGGCCGGCATTGTATTAATTTGACATGTACGTATATACATATATAAGTGTACACATAGGGATGGATAGACATATGTATGTGAAAACACGTGTGTAGACATTTCTGTGCAGTCACCTGAATGCGCAGTCACATCCATGAGTAGCCACATGAATGTATATTGATGTTTTATAGGCATGTGTGGGCACACACACACGCATACTCAGATTAGGCACTTTCCTTCTTCCTTTTTAAAGAAAATCATTTTTTCCTCCTAATGAACATCATACCTCTGTCCCATATTGGAAAGATAAATCTTGTCCACACACTTATAGGGTTTAAAAAATGAACTCTGGCCGGGCATGGTGGCTCACGCCCGTAATCCCAGCACTTTAGGAGGCCGAGGCAGGCAGATCACAAGGTCAGGAGATCGAGATCATCCTGGCTAACACGGTGAAACCCCATCTCTACTAAACAAAATACAAAAAATTAGCCAGGCGTGGTGGCAGGCGCCTGTAGTCCCAGCTACTCGGGAGGCTGAGGCAGGAGAATGGTGTGAAGCCAGGAGGCAGAGCTTGCAGTGAGCCGAGATTGTGCCACTGCACTCCAGACTCGGCAACAGAGAGAGACTCCGTCTCAAAAAAAAAAAAAAAAAAAAATGAACTTTGCCACACATATCAATATTTATTCTGTTTTGCAAAGTCAAACTCTCTTGCCCTTTGCCACACATATCAATATTTATTCTGTTCTGCAAAGTCAAACTCTCTTGCCCTAAATGGAAGAGAAGCAGAGAAACTTCTACTATTTCTCATAGAACTGTAAGCATAAATCACTCAAAGGCAAGCTGAAGTTTTTAAGAAGGGCATTTCTTCGCATGTTTTTAAACCGCAGCTTCCTGCTTATCTTTACACTAATTTCCTCTGATAAATTATAACTCTAGAGAAGGATATAATAGAAACATCAGTTTGCTACTCAGATAACCACTTCCCCCTCTTTACACTGTCCACCCCGCAACTTACTTTGTATCTTTCTACAATGCTGAAGCCAATAGCACACTGCAACTTGCGCAAACAGATAGGGCAAAGGTTTAGAGGGCGCCGGTCAGCTTCTTCCAAGTGGTTGGAGCCTTGCATTAGGCATGCCAGCCACTGGCAGTGTCGCAGTCCAAATATGTGTCCGATCTCATGGGTTAAAGTCTGCAAGACAATCATGTTGAGGCTTTATAAGACCACCATCACATTACGCTACACGTCTCTTCTTTTTCTTGCTTCTCCAAGAAACATAGGAATCAACTCCCTTAGTATTATCACCGAAACTTCACCCCGTCCAGACCTTCAAAGACTTAATAATCCCTCATCTCCCCAAATGTCTTACTGCCTTTCTGCTATAGACTTCCTCAACCTCACCACCGCTGACATGTTGGACCGACAATACCAGGTTGTGGGAGGCTGTCCTGTGCCCTGCACGATACTTTGCAGCATCCCTGGCTCTACCCACTAGATGCCAACAGAACTCCCTCCCTGATCGCGAAAATCAAAAATGTCTCCAGACATTGCTAATATTCCCTGGATGGCAAAATCACCCCTGGTTGAGAACCCTTAATCTAGACTAGGGTACTCGTTGTAATTCAGATTCTGGGGCCCTTCCCCTAGAGATGCTGACTTCAGTAGGTCTGGGAGAAAAGGGGCTTGATGTGCATGCTAATGAGAACATCAGGTGGCAATGACACAGGCGGTAGTTCTAAGAGGCGTAGCTCTCAAACCCCAACAAATAGTACAGGTGAGAGCAGAATTTCTCTAGCTGAAGGAAAAGCTCATCTTTCTGGCTATGGAAAAAGGGGAGATAGGCTTTCCACAAAAGCGAGCTGGGGATATCAGGAACTGCCAGGACAACTACAGTCAAGGGTAGCCTGGAGCCCAGGGCAGGAAGGCCCATGCTCCCAGAGAGGCCAGAAAGCAGAGGTCCTCCAAAGGCCTGGGGAAGGCAGCTTTGCCCAATGACCACAGTAGCTTGAAAAAGTAGGTCACCCAGTAACACCAGAATTCAGGAATTACACTAATAGCATGTGGGTACAGCCAAGGCTGCCTGTAACTAGTAGTACAAAAAACTGGCACTGATACTGTAAATTTCAATATTAAGGTATCCATTTAAATTGTTTTACTGATCATTTCAGTCAAGCACTATGCACCAAAATTATACAAATGATACAAACTCATTTATAATATTACCTTAAGGACTGACAATATACAATTTACGGAACTAAGATCTCTTTTAAAGAATCGTCCTGTTGGATTTTTTTAATAACTTACCTTACAGGATCGAAGTAGTAAAACACTAGTTATTTCTGGAATATAATAGTTGTTGAAAATTGAATAGTCACTTGAAGATGTTTTTTTGAGCTTCTTCACTTTGCCTTCATAGCGCATGCTATAAAAATCACTGCCATACCTGGCAAAGCTGAATATCCCCACACCTACGAAAGAGGACAAGCAGCGACAGAATGAGAGTAAGGTCCCTGAGGAAAGACCAAAGAAAGAAGAGCCTGCTGGCCCATCTGGCCAGTGAGTACACCTCTGTGTCACTGTGTCCATACCATCTGATACATTTATGGTTTGCCACCAAAAAGAAAGACTTTTGCCCCAGATTTCCCTATCAAAATCTTTTGCTGCTATTCACTTTGCCTTGCCCTGTAAAACTTAATGGACTTGAGGTGAAATACTGGAGAAACTGAAGTTTCAGAGAGTCTTTTCCCACAAAAGAAGTCTTTTTCTGAAAGTAGCAAGTACTCCAAATCACGTACTCAAAGAGGAATCATAAAAAATAACCACTTGGGTTGGGAGTGGTGGCTCACACTTGTAATCCCAGGACTTTGGGAGGCCGAGGCAGGTAAATCACCTGACGTCAGGAGTTCAAGACCAGACTGGCTAACATGGTGAAACCCTGTCTCTACAAAAATACAAAAATTAGCCAGGCATGATGGTAG